GGGTTAAATAAAAAAAAATAACCCTACCCTACCACCCTCTTAACTGAAAGCGATGGCTATATGAGAGACTGTATGAACCTGAAAATGGTATACAAGGGCCGTGGTCGCCATGGCACGGGGGCTGCAATTTAAAAAAAAAAAAACACTTTTCTTTATAATTTCAGCAGTCTATGATAAAACGGGGCAATAATAAAGCTGTGACATAAGGACGGACGCATCTGACTCAAATATTAAGATTCCACTTTTCGTGTTTGACTATGGAACCTCAGAATTTAGCCACACCAGAGCAAAATCCGACTAGTTCTCGAGCGATAAGCTTTCCTCTTTTATAATATACTGATTCGTTACCCCAAAGATCCTTGAATCCAAGAAATTGTAATAATTTTTAGACTTTTCATAATCTTTCATCTTGCAGCATACCTAATATAGAATCGCAAAGATAAGTCGCATTCAAAGGCAGGAGGCAGAATTTAGTCCCGATGTTATAAACGGCGTTAGAAACACTATCTTAGGCTTTTTCTAGAACAGGACGAACTCGTTTAAGAATTAAGAGAGCTCCCATATTTTTTGTGTAATTTGTATTATATAATAACATGTTTTGTGTTGATTGTAATTTGTGTTATTACATATAACAAAAATTTTGTGAAAACTTCAAGCGGCTGTCTATTACGGTTCAAATGTTACATTCTTTAAAGATGGATGCAAATGGATAAATAGACGATTTACGCCGTCTGCCCTACGAGTACGTAGACCTAGTAGTGGGACAAAGTTTACAATTTTTGGAATACGATTACTTCCTAAATTTTTCAATTAAAGCTGAAAAACATATATCAATAATTTTATTCGGCGTCTTGATGTAAAAAATAAATAGTATATATAAATAGTATATATATATATATTTTGTAGGTAGACACAATCTCATTGATATAAAAATTTTGGGACTTTTGACAAAAAAACTGTGACAACCCTCTTTGTTTATTTTGACAGTTCTCTTTTGACGTTAACTTAACACTACCTAAAGAATTCTGAAGAAACCGAAACAGGTGTTAATCTGAGGTTGCAAGTTTAGGACTATATGGTAGATGCATTAATAACCGCCAAACAAACTCTCTAAATATTTGTCGAGTGGCTAAAGATATGTATGGTCAGACGTATTCATGGTGAAAAACCACACCCTTTCCGGACGTTTTTTCTCTACTTCTTGCTTGAGTCTCTACTTCTTGCTTGAGTCTCATCAGCTGTTAGCAGTAGAGATCCGAGTTGATGGTTTTGCCCGGAGTTAAAAGCTCGTAATGAAAAATGCTCTTCCAACCCCACTATAGGTACACATTGCATCAACTTATTGCGAGTTAATCTGGATTTCACTATAGTCTGTGGAGGTTGCTGGCCTTTTGACTTTGATCTTTGTTCCACGTTTTTGTTGTAAGTAAAGGATTTTATCACCAGTGATCAATCTTATTAAAGACGGTTTGGTTTCCTTACGTTTCAATAGAGAATCGCAAATCAGTGCACGGTTCATTAGATTTCTTTCAGTTATTTCGTGCGCAACCCTAGTATTTGTGGTCAATTGCCGTAGCTCTTCAACTATATCCTAAGAACTAGTATGCCGATCTTGTTCTACTCTTTCCAAAATGTCATCGACTTTATCCGTAACAGGTCCACCAGAGCGACGTTTGTATTTGACATCAAAAGCATTGATCCGAAAACACTCAAATCAGTTTAATGTTACTCTCATCAACATTGCATTAGATCCACAAACGTCATAAATTTTTTCGCGGCTTTTGTTACATTTTTCCTGTTTTTGTAATACAATTTTAAAATATATCGAATTTCTACGTTAGATATACACATTTTTGGGGACAGAAGAACAATAAAAAACCAGCCAATAGCATGTCAGTCCATGCTGAATGTAGGGTTTCGAAGCTGTTACAAAACAATGAAAGCTACAAAAGAAAAAACTACATTGTTAAACTCATTTCCATGTTTTCCGCACATAGTCAACTATAGCTTGAGAAACAACTAGGTATGTCAACTATTACTTTTAAAACAGCGTTAACTAAAAAGCACCAGTAAAAGAACGTATCTTTATGGCACTTATGCTCTCTTGTTGAGGAATGCACTTTTTCGACAATAACTCAAAAATGGTACATCCGATCATGTTCAAAATAACCTTCTTTGAAAGTATATATTAACGGTTATCTTTTCATTTTTTTTTAAATATTTTTTGCACTTATGGTTTGAAAAATAAAGAGGGAGGCGACAATTTCTGCTATTTTCGAAGCGATTATTTCTGAAATTATTCACTTAGTCAAAAAAATTGCTGAGAAACCTCAAAATGGTTTTAAAAGAACTGTCCAAATATGTGCCACAGCTTGATGTTGGCTAGAAAAATTTTTTTTCCGCTCCTGTTATATGTATGAAGTGCCCCCAGAAATATCTATTTTTGTTATTTAAGTACCAAACTAAGTAGCAGTTTATACAAGACACCTATATTCCGATTTTCATTAATATGTTTCTTATAGTTTTTGAATAAAATGCCTGTGAAACACGGACAGATGGACGGACATAACAAAACTGTATGGCTTTTTTTTGCCATTTTGGCTCGGAACCCTAAAAATATACACCGATTTAATTTTTACATTGTTTTTTTTAATGTTGTCTATTTATTAGTTTTAAAACTAGCCAGATCCAAATAGCATTACCAAAGATCCAAATAGCATTGCAACTTTTTACTTATAAAACACGAAAAAACTGTTTTTCCGACCCAATATATGTCCAATATAAACTACTCCTATTTCATGACATGATTTTAAATTAATTTTTAACCAAAATGTCACTTTTAAGATGAACTTAGACCTTGAAATTAATCTGTAAAAGCTGAATTTAAGACAAGGTCAATCAAGTAAGACACGCTAAATCTGTCACTCCAAAGGCTTTTCAAACGAAAAGGCAAACGGAAAGAAAACAATCTCATCACCATTTTTCAAACCCGAGCAACCTTAAGAAACGATCACAACCTTTCGATAGGCAGAACAAGAAGGAATTTACTTTATGAGTTTTCAATCAAGAGAAAAACTTTCAGCATCGCATGAACAAATATATTCCACCTGCCCAAAGTTTATTCACGTCTTGTATGGCCGTACAATGTAACCTTACAACGCATACAGACGAATTATTTATTTGTTTTTCAAGACTATAATGTTCTACGGACCCGAATACGATATAACAGCCGAATAAGCTTTGGGTACAACTTTTAGAATAGGTGACTCGGCATCTCTGTGAACATTCTGTGATTAATGAATCCTTGATATTTCATTTTCGGATTTATGATATTGTTTGACATGAAAACGATAACCTTCTATACGATTCAAGCGTAATGAGCGCTGAGCAAGCCTAAGGCTGTACTGTTGATATAAGGGTGGGAGAAATTACAAAAAAAGTGTGTGTATTAGTGTACACACGTAAGAAGTGAAACTTCTTTATGACAGCATTTTTCGAAAAATGATTTACTATTTACAACTTCACAGAAATTGGTTGAATAAAGCTAAATTTGATAAAGTTTATGCAAAAGGCTTTTATTATCATATACATGGATACAAAAATAATACAATTATTTCACCTTTCTGCTACTAAGATTATAGCATTTCATTAATTATAATAGAATTATTACTATTATTGTTATCGGTTAACCTGAAATAACGTTAAAAAAATAAATACCGTAATCACACCCACGTGTTGAATGTATTAGAAAAAAAGGTTTAATTACTTCTGTTAGAAATCCACTGGAATTAGAATAAATATCTTTTATTCTTTTTGCCAATAACTTTATAAAATTTTTTTCGCTAATCACTTAATTTAAATATTATTTTTCACGTCACTACTGAGTTTCAGAAATAGAAATGTTCAGAGTTTCATGTAGGAGACTTGATAATGGTATATGTACCTAGAAGGGTGATAGGTAAAACTTTTCAATTAATGCGATGTTATAAAGGGCCATATAGAATTGTGGGAAAATTATCGAACGCTTCATATAAAATCGAGTCACTCAATGAAAGAATGTGAGATATAGTTCATGTATGTCGGTTGAAAAGGTTTCAACTTAGGTAATAGGAAAATGTAATATATACAAACTGTAAATAGATCTAGGGTGTTGACAGAAAGTATATGTGACAGGTGGCCTTAGTAACAATTATGTTTATGCCAAGATGACATTAATAACATTGAATAAATATGGCGCGTAACGGAAAAATGTTACCCAGAAATAAAGATGGCGCGTAACAGGTAAAGATGGCGCGTAACAGAAAAAAGGTTACATTGCTATAAAATTTCTCCCATACGCCGATAAAGAAGTTTCACTTCAAAAATATATTGCTTAAGATAAGTTTCATCTTTTTACATATTTATAGATTTTTTTTATTCATAATATGCAAATATTGCGTCTATATTACAGCCAGTCATTCGATAATAAGAGAAATGTCCGCTTAGCGGCGAAAAGATACGAAATTAATTTGTAGACTTATTTACAAGCCAAATATTTTATTGTATACGATGTAGATAGACAATTAACACTTGCTTAGGTTTTCGAAATTTGTCAATCCTCTCGAATCAATATTCAATTCGTTGGACGAGAATTCGTGGTGGAAGAACAGATTAGAGGGTCAGCGGTGGGTTGCATGTTGCATGTTAATGCATGTCGTCGCAAGCAAGCGTCTATAAGCCAAATGAATAATTATTGTGTTTAGCTAAGTTATCTACGAAATATTCTTTGAAAAAATATGCTTAAAATTTCGACGTCTGTTCTGTTAATTTTATGTCAATTACAACAACCAAAAAGGATTTCTAATATTTTAAAATGATGTTTTTAAAACCAAAGAGCTCTTAAGTGATTGCTTTAGCGCACAATAGAATCCCAGAAGTACAGGTGTTATAAATTGATTATATCTTTGATGAGAATGCGTACCGCTATTGCTTTAGTGAACATTTTTATAAATTTGTTTGCCAACGTCCTTACCTCGCTGAATACAGCGGTTCCGCCCGATTACCGAAGTGAAGCAGTGTTGGGTGCAAACTGTATTTGGATTGGAGACCGCCTGGGAACACTGTGATGTCGGCTGTTTTTGATGTTGCATTCTTCATATGGTATTTTACAATAAAATATTAATTCTAATTTTTATATAATATTTTATTACTATTATTCTTTTTATTGTATTTTTCGTTTCATTACTTTCAAAGGTTGTTAATTCCATTGTGCTCATGTTTAATTTATAACTCCCTTTTATTTTTCTAATTGTTTAAGTCATGGAGAGCTGTTTAAGTTCAATTTTAACCTTTCAGTATACAAATAGTGAGTGACATCTATTATTGATTTCATAATTACTTAATTGTGCGAATTGACGAATTTAATAAAGTCTTTAGAAATAAAACAAATTGCGCTGCTTAGTACTTTTTTTAGACTTTTAATAATGAAAAAAAAAATGTTATTTACAACTTACAGATATGTCGTACTATTTATTCACTTATATTATTATCATTACTTACTTACATTCAAACATTTTAATTAATTTCAATATTATTCACTTCATAAGACATATTTTCATTTAACGAAAGGAACTTCGTTCCAACCGGGTGTCCCAAATACACATCATGAGTTTTTAAAATTCCCCATTTTTATTTATAAGGTGGATATCTGACATTTGCGGATGGCTAATTGGATTATGTTGAATTCTAAGCAACCACTATGGTGGTCGTTTCGTCATCCATATACTTGGCCGAAGATACATTTTACATTACTTTACTGCTCCGATTAAAATATACCTCTCTCAAAAGAGTTTCTTCTCTTGATCAGAAATCGTTTGAATGTCTTTAGAAACACAGCTCGAAAACTTTCACCGCACCATTTCGGGGCTTGTAAACAGGTGAAATCTTAAGATCACCACTGCAAATTCTTTGCATACTCAATTTAAACGGAGCGACTCTTCGCTTAGGCGATCGCCATCCCTTTAGGATATAGTTCTAGTAGTGGTAGAGGATCTTCATCATTGAGAACATCCATATCTTGTTGGTAACGACGAGTTATCAATCATCGTGAGGAAAGTCCACGGCATTTTCCATAGCCTATCCATCGCTCGTTTCACTTTGATGTCTTCTGAGGTCATTGACGTTTTCTCAATCCAGATGAGGGCTTCTATAGGTACTAGTGTGGTTCAGTAAAATATCGCCATATCTAACTCTTCGTTTCCCCTGCCAACGCAGAGCTAGTTAGTAATTTCTAAACCCGCCTTCTATGCCTAAGGCGAGAACTCACAAGCAGGAAACGGATTTTGAACTTAACGTAAGAGAATAATCAGTTATTAATGTAGCTTTGATAAGAATAATCAGTTGTTATTTGAGCTGCCTGTTTGTGTCGCTCTCAATTTAATAGTCCTAAATAAATTTTGTCGAAACTTTTAAGTACAATAATTTATAACCTAATACAGTAACTTTTACGTTTTGAAACAATATTTTCTACGGCTTTATAGGGTGGACAAAAAAATATCGCTATTTTTTCTGTCCAATGATAGATCTTTGTAATACTTCTAGATGCCTGTTTATAAGATTTTACCTGTTCTATTAGGCCAGTTCATAAAATTTCGCTATACTTTACGTTTTCATTTTCTTTCCGTATAGATCTAAACCAAAGATATTAATCTATTTTGACGAGGGTTTCATTATAATTTCAACAACTGTGTATAAGGTTATAAAGATTATAATTAAGTTTTTCTTAGGTATTATATATCCATCGATAAGCTTAAATATGTAAAGCCAACGAAATATTTAAATATTTAGTACAAAAAACAAGTTAGTCAAAAATAAAAACCTAAACTTTCAGAATAAATAACATCCATTGAAATTGTTGTTACATCTTGTTTGGAAGAAGGCCATTATGAAAATGGTATTTTTTGTAAACGGAATTCCACTTTAGAAAAGTGCTTTTTATTGAGGTTTTGTTGCGTTACCAACTTATATTTGTCACACAAGCGACACTTTATTTTAACCGAAGAAAATGGAAAGTATGTACGTACGTTCAGCTTAATAGAACAAAAAGGTAACGCCAGCGAGGCGAGTGATTTTTAGATGTGAATTAATTCAGCGGATTACCAGTGCTCAGTGTACCGCAACCTGTCTGGAAAGACGATAAAATAATCGGAAAACGGCGGAGGGAAGAGAACGAGGGGAAAAACGAGGTGACAGATTTTTCTAGATTTACCGGAATTTAGTATAGTACAATAGAACTGAACGCAGAACAAAGCGGATATCAGACACGGCTTTTGCTATCAAATTCAGAAACGGTGCTTATGGATTTTGTTTCAAATCGCGTTGAGATTATTGATTTTACATATCTAACGTGACGGATCAGACCGGCCGTCAGCGCGGCGACGCTCTGCGACTCTGTTCCTTCGACGATCTTCCCCTCACCGCGCTGAGCTGGTATATTTATAATGTATGCAGTGTTGTTGTTGTTGTAGTTGATTACGCATATTTATCTTCGTAAAAAAGTAACTAATCTTTCAAGCATATTTTCTGTACAAAATAGTTTCAATGTTTCACATATGTCAGGTGTCAGGCGACGGCTCAATTTAGTATTTTTTTAATGTAACAATTTTCATTTCTTTTTTGTAATTATTTTGTAGTTCTAAACACTTGGGCTATACATGGATTCAAGGTCTTGAAGGAAAATCATTAATTAATGCCTTATATAAAATCCAGTTTAGTTATTTCATTCAATTTTCTTAAATTGGTGTTCTCAATCCATTACGAGTAGGACATCTTCAAGAAAATGATATTTATTTATCATAGACCAAAAAAAAAAACCGACATAACATTACATTCGTCTGAATGTGGACCATTTAAACTGAATGATCGTGTATAGCGAGTACACATGCAGAATGGCTTTTAACATGCATTTTGTCAAAATCTAAAATATCATCTGATTATAAAAGAATTTTGCTAAAGATAACATAATCACTGAAGTAGTCGTTGCTGAAAAAAATAGCATACAATATCTACGTATAAATGTCGTATTGACAACCTTATAACAGCTGACCCGTAGTTACTGTGCCGCAGTATATTGTGAGAAAGGGGGGGGGGGGTTTCAAATGGTCAACCGCGTATGTGGTGTGCGGCCGGGCAATAATCTGATTCGCACAACCTCGCGATCACAAGACTTCGTCGCGTCGCGCAGCCACTGACTGTGCCCGTGTTTGCAGTTTGGCCGAGCATTTATTAAGGTTGTGTCTATATTATTTTTTATATGATTTATAAGTATATTTTTAATAATATACTTTTGTTATAGTTACTTTGGCAAAGTTGTTATAAAAAAGAAGACGATTATGAATATTTGTAAAAAGACGCATGAACGAGTCCATACTGTACACTTCAACGTTTTTATTGTACAATAGTCCGTTTTTTAGATAAGACGACATATCAATAAGATCCGTTAACCGAACACCATCCACACCCTGAACTGAATTCACTCGTATAAATGACGGTTATTTTGCAGGTAGTGAGAAATTGTAATTCATACATCTAAGCGTAATTTCAGCTGTCGATAATCGGCCCCGTAAGTTCGGCGCGTTGATATGTGCCTCTTTTGATAATGAATATTATTTATAATGTGATTCCTGTTACACAAGCTCTAACTTCTAAATAATGGATCGCAATTAAGTTCAGTGTAGATATAATTGATAAAACTGTCCTTCTTGGTAGGTTCTCAAGATGTAAATAAATTAAATTAATGAAAATTATAAATAAATATTTGAACTTCTTTGCACTTACAGTAATGAGCTCTTATTCCGAAGAATCGTATTATTACTTTCGGATGTCCTTATGTCTTGAAACATCTATATAATAATGGTAGAAGCCGTCTCAAAGCTTCGACATTTTTAATGAAGACGCTTCATATCGGTTGTCGTGCTATTTATATACAGATGTGGTAACAAAAAAAGCGAATTTAATTTATTTACATCCAATCGTACCGTTACTAGTAACGCGACCCGGCCTCACATGGGCATATAGGTGAAAGAATTCAGAAAGACAGCGTGGTACCTACTTAAGTTATTAAAATTAAGGCAAATAAATATTTTGTTTAGTCTTACGAAAGTTGAGTAAGTTTATTTTAAATGAAATTTAGATGACAATTGTAGAGAGAAATGTGATAATCAAGCTTAAAGGCCTTTGGTTCAAAATAAAAATTGGAAAATCCAGAAGTGCTCGCCTCACCGCAGTCATTAACTTCTAAAATAAAATTTTTTAATAGAGTTTTTGATAATGAAATTTGAAAAAGGATTTATTAAATTCAAATTTCGCGTCATTTCGTGAGATATTTATAATGGCGGATGCGCTGATCTCAACTTTTCACATATGGCTTGAGGCTAATCTTCATTTGTATAGAAATATAGATATACAAACACACCTCAACGCTCCTTGTGAGGCGTGCAATACACAGTCGTTTTTAGTTTTGTAAATTATAATTAAACTACAGTACTTAGAACGCTAATATTAACTAGGAATCAGCACAGGGTATAACTTTATATAATAAAAAAAAAAGTATTCCGGTAAGATACATTTTTCGACCAATTTCTCAGCCACATACATGGATCCATAAACACAGACTGACGGACGTCCAACAATGATTGATTTTCATGTTATTATTTACTATTGTTAACAAAATAATTATTTATACAATATACCATATGTGCTAGACAGACTATTTAACTTGATATTAGTGCACTCATATTACCCTATAAGTGTTATATTAGTAAAAAAAATATAATAGTAAAAAAAAAGTCATTTAAGTTTCGAAAGACTGGGTTTTTGACATGTCGAGAGTAGAGCACCACCTCAACGCTCCGCTTGTGAGGCGTGCAATATGTGAATATATTACATGTATTTAATTATTCTGGGAAAATGAACCTACAATGTGGTAAAATCGAAAACGAAACTTCCTATCAGAATTATAAATTGCTTATAATCACAAAAAGTAGTATTTAAACTCAGTTAAATGATAATTCGAAAAGTAATCCTTAAGAACGTAAATCGAGATGAGCAATCTTTGAATGACCCGATTATACA